GGCGGTCAGAGGGCAGGGAACAGGGGAATTGAATGGGGGCAAGGGTCCTGGGGGGACAGTCAGGAAGGAGCAGGGGTGTTGGATGGGGCGCTGGGGTGCAGTCAGGGGCAGGGGTTCCAGGGGCAGTCGGGATGGGGCAGGAGTCATCAGGAATGAGAGGAGGGGTTGGATTGGGTGGCAGGGGGCAGTTAGGGGACAGGGAAGGGGGGTGGATGGGGTGTCAAGGAACATGGGGGGTTGGATGGGGCAGGAGTCCTGGGGAGTGCACGACCCTCTCGTGCGGTGAGGAGGAGGGAACCGGTTGTTAATATTTTGGCAGCTCATCACTGCCTAAATTTGCTTTGTTGGTCTTGAATTTTGGGTCTCTGTTGCCTTCTTTTTCCCTGCACAATATAGACAAATCTCCAGACTTTGTTTTAATGTTCCTTGGGGAGAGTAAGTTAAAGAAGCTTCTACAGTGGAAAGCAAGTGCCAGACCCTTGCTAAAGTGTCATATAGTTAAAGCTCCCAGTAGTTCCCTAAAAGAGAACTCCCTGCCCCTGAGGCTTGGCAAGTGGTGGCTATTGTTGCAGCAACTGAACTTGGAAAGATAGAGGGAATGAGAAGCTCTGTTTAGGACTTTTTTGTCTCATTCGCAGCCAGTTAAAGCATTATTAGTACTACGGTATAAAGAGTAAGTTTTTTTATAAATAGTCAGCAGTGTATCTAGCGGTCTCTTTTGACACCCAAGGCCTCCCCTATTAACATTTCTATGGTGCTGAGTAATATGTACTCTTCACCTGAGGGGGAATATAGAAGAAAAAAATTAGGTAGCTTAGTTCAAGTCCTTGGGAGCTTTGAAATAAAACTTTGTTACATCATTCACTTTTGCCCCCTCCCAACAATGGCTTTAATTGCTGCTATTGGTCTGTTGGGCTTCTTTCCATCCTCAGTGTGGACAAAATCATGATTTTATCAGCACCTCCCATGTGACCTGGTCTATCCTTTATATTTGGTAGTGAAAAAGATGAAACAGTAGCTGTAGTAAAATGAAATACTAGTTTTAGTTTACTTGTTAAAATGCATCAACTTCTCTTTTTGGTTGAAAATTTATGGTTTCAGAACTTGATTTCAATAAATTACTTCAAACAGTGCAAGCTGAACTGCAGACTTTTCAGTCATTTGTCCAACCCCTCCACTAAGTGTGTGTATGTAGATGTTCACTACCTGTTACTTTATTTGCTTACCTAACACAGGAAATACGAACAAGTTAATCATTTAATACAGCAGGAAAAGAGGTATTTATAGGGACAGTTTAAAAACACTTATTGCGGCCAGCAGTTTAAGGTACATATAGATGAATAAGTTTTGGGGTTTGTTTAGGTAATCATTCAATCCCTAGCTCAGATTGGTCTCTTTGTAGTATCTCCAGCCTGCAAATTACTTAGACCTTCTATAGTAAACTGCTTTTTCAAAACCCTTCCCTTAAAATGTATATGTTCCATTCATGTGTGACGGATTGGGATATAGTGAAACAGTTCTAATTAGAGAGTCCAATTCTCTGTACAATAGCACAGTCAAAAAGAAAAATAGTGTGGGACTAACAGATCCCTACCGCTGTACGTCTATCTGTAGTGGTGGTGGTGGATACTTGTACTCCTGAGAATAGGGGTATAAGCCCTGCTCAGTGGGGCTGTGAAGTGCACAGAAATATTAACCAAGTGAGGTTTGAATGTGTAGTCTTCTGATTCCTGGCCCACTGAATTTATCCTAAGGATACAAGAACATTCAAGGAGAGGGATCCATTTCATGTCCTGTCTGGAATTTTAGTTCTGTCTGACTGCTTTAGAATGACGCAGGAGGAAGTTGTGCAGAGCAATTGGAACTATCAAGAGAGTTAAGGAACAAAACTCTACGAAGTTTAGTTATGCATCTGCAAATGGTGAATTTTCCAGCCTTTGTTACTTGGTCAAAACAGCAGACTTTCCTGACTATGATAAAAGTAACTTCTGTGAACTCAAGGCTATCCCTCTGCTTGATCTTAAACTCCTGCTCCAAACCATGGGGATTCTAGAGATGGTCAGAACAGTTTAACACAGCCAAACTACATCATAAATGGGAACTCCATATATCTTTCACATTTCTTACCCAAACTGCAGCTAGCTGTGATAATGAGCAATTAAGGACATATTCCCATAGTCAGTCTTCAGTTTAAGTGAAGTGATATTGTTGAACTTGATGACAATGTCTATGGCAGACTGGTATCTCTGCATAGTTCTGACCTTACTGCAAGATATAACAGGAGGAGAAAAAGGCTTGCTTTCAGCAGCAAAAGGAACAAACAGATGCACATTATGTATTCTGGTTCTCTTTTCCCAGCAACTGTTATATCTATGCCCCAATTGATTTAAAACTGGCTCACTAAACTGACTAGCTGGTGGTGGTGCAAATCAGAAATAGAATTCCAGGTTATACACTGTGAAAAGTCCTCTTCTAGCTAGATGGATCTTGAAATAATTCTTTTAGCATTAGCCCCCTATTATTCCATAACCCTGAACTTGTTCAGTGTGTGTCTACATTTAAAACACTGCGTCAGCACAGCTTTAGCACTTTAGTGTAGAGTAGACACTGTGCTGATAAGAGGTTGGTGTAAGCAATCCTCTGTCCTGAGAGGCGGTAGTTAAATTGATGGAAGAATTCAAGGGTGTGGATTTTTGATACCCCTAATTGTCTAGTGTAGAACAGACCTTAATTATCTTCAGCCAACCACAGGGGTTTTTGCTAGCTGAAAGCAACATTCCAAGCTAGAATTTGACTATTGCATAATGTAACAGGTACAAGGTAAATGTACGTTCAGTAGTACTGCAGCTAGGTGTTACTGAAGCTGTCTGGTTCTAATAGTGCAGTTTCAAAGAGTCTGCTGTACAGGAGGAGGGTCCATTAAGTAAGCCACTTGTCTGGGAGTTGGGAGAAGTGGGTTCAGTTCCCTTCTCCACTACATACTTCCTGTGTGACCTTGGGCAATCATCTCAGTTCCCCATCTGTAAAACTGAAATAAGAGACTGCCCTACCTCACAGGAGTATGATGAGGCTAAATACATTAAAAATTGTGACATGCTTAGATACCACAGTAATCAGGGCTATATTAGAACTAAGATAGATCAGAAGTTAGAGTGAAAGTTAATTTTTGGTTCTCCCAATTGGAATGTGGTGACTTGCTTAAAAAGTTGCAAAGTTAGGCTTTAAATTAACTAAATGTCCATATTAATGAGTTGTTTCCTCTCATCGTCTAGGGATGCATCACTGATGGCTATGAGAAGGCGAATTGAGGGCTTGACACCAGAAGAAATCAGAAATCTTTCCAGGGATGAAATGCACATGCCTACAACTATGGAGGATTTTGAAATGGCTTTAAAAAAGGTTTCTAAATCGGTATCTGCTGCGGACATTGAGAAATATGAAAAATGGATTGTTGAATTTGGATCATGCTAAGACTTCCTAACCAAACTTCCCCAGGAAACCTGTCTTAAAACAGCTTCAAAAGTAATGAAAGGTAGCGTTCATATGCACTAAGTGCTATTTTTTAACTTTCTTAAACTTAAGTGCAACATGATTCTGAATAAAGTAATTTTTTAAATTGCATGTCACTTTTGCCTCTTATTTGAATTTACTCAGAACAAGTCTCCCTTTATCTACGTCCCTTTCAAAGATATGAATGTCATCAATCAAATCTTCTTTGGTTTTTGTTTTGTTTTAATTGAATATTGGGATTTGTTCACCAGGGGGATCTCATATGAACTCTTTCACTAGCACAGAAGCTAGTCGTCTTTGTGCTTGTTAGATCCTGATACTGCGAATCTCAACACAAGAAGATGATTCTTCACTAAACAGTGGTGGCCCATTCATCTTTAGCAAATTTTGTCCTCTAAATGTTCCTGCATCTGTTAAAAGAAATTGTGACAAGACTAAGGTGCAAAAACTCTGAAACTTGTAACCGTTAATAAATTAAACTTAAGATGCATTGGGAAAAGCATTTCCTTAGATATGCTGTACAACTCTAATTAATACCAGACTATTTTGTCAGCACTGCTGCTGCGTCAGGGTTGCAGTCTACAAGTGTTGCAATTCTCTTTAGAAAGTGGAGACCAAGGCATTAAACATATCTGGCACACTTTCTATTAAAAATAAATAAATTGTAAACTGATTACTGGCAGATAACTTGGTCAAGGAAGGAATCTGTGTTCTAAAAGAAGCTTACTATTCAGGAGATGTATAAGTGAGTGTATGTCCTAGACTTTTAGAAAAGTCCTGCTTTAAAATTCTTAAGAGTGGCCTTCTCCTAAAGTGGGATAACTACTTCCCCTGTTTAGGCGTGTGCCAATTTTATACAGGAATTTTACTTTAAAAAATTTAAATTTTAAAATAGGGCCCAAGATCGCCTATTGCCCTCAATCTTAAAGCAAGACCACACATGACTCTCTAGTGAGGTTCTTTTTCTTGTAATATTCCTACTAGTTAGGGAATACAAATGGAAAGCTAAAAATCAAGCCTGTTTTTTTCTTCAGGTAATGTATTCTTGCAAGCCACTTCTCTACAGTTTGATTTCCTTTCAGTATATTTTTATATGCAGAGTAAAGAAGTTAAATGTTAATTTATATGAACATTTGTGGGAAAACTATGCCTCCTGTACTCAAGATAAACTAATGTCTTGTAAGACATTTGTGTTCTTGTTTCTGAAAAACTTTACACAATACTACAAGATATACAAAAAGCATAGTAAACAAGTCATCTATAAGTGGCTTACAATTTTCAGTAGAGAAGGGGCTTAATATGAAATTGTGTATCGAATAAAGTGCTTGAAATATCAAAAATTGCCTTAATACCTTGTTTTACATATATAGTAACACCTTATTCTAATAGTAAGAACATTTGTTGTTTTTACAAGGCACAGTCAAGGGTAATAGGTCTAAAACCAGGTTGCCCAGCTTTGTTTTGGCTTGCAGGCACGTGTAATCTGTTCCTTTAGCCCATGCTTGAGATGACTGAAGATTATCACATTCTGTATTTCATTACCTAACTGCCTTATCTGTGAATACAAAGGCCAGCTTCCTATCCTAGCTGCTAGGAGAGTATTTTAAAGAAGTTAAAACCTGTCACAACCCTCATAATGGGAAGCTGTTGCTCCTTGGGAGCAAGAGGATGTGGAAAGAGGGGAGATCATTTTGGGCCTCAACCTTGAAATGTCCCTTTAAACATAAATCAGTTGACGTACTATTTTCAGAATAGGAAGCAAATAAGGTATTAAAGTTCAAGTGCCAAATTTCAGGTCCAGATTTGTACAAAGATTCAGACGCAAACATGGTATTGAGTACATCATTTCTCCACTAAATTGTCTGTCTTCTCTGGAATATCTGAAGGGACCTTTATCACAACCACAGGTGCAGTGTTGATATCCTCCAGGTGAAGGACTCCTCTGAAAGACACATTACTTAACATTAGAAAAGGGTAGCTCTGTTTTGAGAATAATTTTTTCATTGTAAATCAACATATGAAGTAAGTGCAGACTTAGTTTATTATCTATTAAATGAAGAGGCAGCACATGTATTGAGACTTGAGGAAAGTTGCTTTGATACTTGGTGACTTTTGGCACATCATGTAAGCTTGTTGCCAATCTAAAATATCAGCATACGATTCAGTTCCTACCTCACAGATATTAAAACTTAATTGTTTAAACTGCTTTCAAATCATCTTCCACCAGGAGCTATATTAATGCTAAGCTAAAGTGCTGGTCAATGACTGGACATACTGTTTACAAGACACCTGCTTTTACAATAGAGAGCTCTGCTGAAGATTCAACACGCTGCTGTTCAATTACAGGATGAACGTTCCCCATCTGCTTGATACCCCCTCCACTAAAATCAGACCTGCCACATTATGAGACTGGTCAATGAAAGGAGACAGTCTTAGGACTACAACCATAGCTTTTTTTGGGAGTATGCAAGAATTACTCACTTGTGTTCGCAGGAAGGGAAAAGCACTTTTAAGATTCCTAAAACTAGAGCTGCTCCTACAACTCCAGTCCCAATGACTTCCATTAGCTTAAAGAACACAGGAAAAGATTTAAGCCAGAACCCGCACAGCTCTTTTCTCAAGTATTCCACCCACTGGCACATGACCTGAAACCAACAAACATGTTAAGATAGACATATTTCAGAAACTAGTGCAGTCTAGCTACTAGTGAATCTCTACAAGATGCATTAGCTCTGTTTTAAATGTATAATACAGTTCATACACTGCTTTACATATATCACTAATTGACAGTCTCCCTGCTCAGGAAGATCTGACACATGCAAATCTGAAATACAACCTTAGCAGAGTCATATGAGAGGAGATCCCATTTTTGGGTGGGGAGCTGAGATCTACAGAGTATCCGGAGGCAAGGCTATAGTGAAGTTTAGATGTAGATTACACATGCTACTTGGGACCAGAATAGCATTTCTCATTGCAGTGTGTAGCAGGGAAAGGGTTACTGGTGATGCAGCAGCAACATTATATTGGCTATGAAGCACCTTTGAGGGCTGCCTGAGAGAGCACAAGAAGGTAGAATGTTTGGGGGAGAACCCTGGTGATTTTTTCAACTATCAAACAATGCCAGGCATTAACCTGCTGCAGTGGTGACTTGCAGGTAGTGTTTTGTTTTCATTGTGCTCGCTTTTTGTATCTGATTGCAACAGTCTCTAAAACAGGAGCAATGTAGCTGTAACTATACTCCCAGGTGAGGAGAGTACTGAACAGAATCTTTCCTTTGTGTGTGATTGTTGCTGGCCTCCTAAGGGTATGTTTACACAGCAAAGAAAAATCCATGGCTGGCCCCTGCTAGCCAACTCAGCCTCAGGCTGCGGGGCTGTTTCATTGCTGTGTAGACTTTCAGGAGTCTACACACCAAATAAAACAGCGCCTGAGCCAGGCCAGCCACAGGGTATGTCTACACAGCAAAGAAAAACCCAAGTATGCAGAGATGTGAAATAGAGTGCTGGGTACTGGAAAGTCCCTCCTCTGAAGGAACTATTCATTCCTTTCAGCGGTCTTGCTCTTGCTGTAATCAAACTGGCTAGTCTACTTTTCAAAGAGTAGGTGGGCTTCCTATCCGACAACTATAAGAGAAGAAGCAGTAGGAAGAAAGTTGGCATTTGAACAGAATAAAGTTTTCCAGGCCACCAGAAGCAAAGTTCTAGCATCTCTAATTATCTTTTCTGATCTTTTCCTCTAGAATACAAAAACAAGGGGATATGAACTGAAACTGAATGGCAACTGATTTTAAAATGGAAAGGAACTACTTTACAACACACATTATCGAACTCTGTCACAAGACAGAGAGGTCAGAGCTTATATGGATGTCTAAATACTTCTGACTAATAACTGTTACATGAGATATGTTAAAAAAACGATTTTAGAAGGGTAAACACCATTTCTCAGAGTATAAACCAAGTGGAAGATTAGGAAGAAACTTCCACTATGGGTGGGTTATTTCTCAATTGTATACTAGAGAAGTATACACTTTCCTTTTGAAGCATCTGGTACTGGCCACTCTCAGAAACAGGAGATGGGACCAGATGGATCACTAGTATCATACAACAGCAATTACTACATTCTTATCATATAAGACAATGTATCCTCAACAAAACGGCAGCTGGAAAAGTTGCAATTTCAAGTAAAACAGGGCTGAGAATTAAAATAGCCTTTGCAACAAAGTCAATGTATCATCTTGCTTTTTTCTACATACAAAAAAAAAAAAAAAAAAAAAAAACAACACACACCTCCAAGAGATGGAGTTTTGAGAACAAAACTCAATCACATGCTTCTTTAAAAAAAAAAAAAAATCCCTAGAATAGCTTTCATAGCCTCTAGAAAGGCACTATATGTTTGCTGAAATGGCATGTGGATGGCCTTCGTGTTGCAATGCAATTTACTGAATCATGCTGGGGGGGAGGAGGGGTGTCTGGCTTCCTTTCCTAGCCATGGATTAATGGGGAAAATTTACTGCTTTCTGCTTGATTCCAAAGAAGGAGAGACTAAGGTTCTGTAACATTAGCACTATGCTAATCAACACAAACTTAATTGTCCAGTCTTGTCAACAGCACTCCCCCTAACTGCTGTTATTTTCTTCTAGATTTCTCACTTGCTCTTATCCATTTCCAGTGCTAAACACAAAATTAGAGAAAGTTCTGATTCCGTTTTAACTGGGACTTAAGATGGACACCATAAGTATTTTAAACAATTACCTTATAAGATGATGGAGGCTCTGTCCTGAGGGGAGTCTCCGGTAACTTGCCAGGTAATGTCTCTTCATCTACTGTAGTTTCTACTTGCCTGAGGAGGTAGTGACTGGTTGGTTGCAGTGGGCCTTGAACATCTACTAAAGAAGAAAGGCATAGTTAAACATTTTTAGCTTCTCCATTTCACCCACACAACTTCTGGTGGAGCAGTATATGATCTAACGATGCACACAGCAAGCAAAATAAAGTGATGCTGCATGTGTGTGCGCACTGCAAGGTTATCTAAGTTTATAATGGAAATACAAATAATTAAAGCTGACATTTTCATTTGACCTTCAGAATAAACCCTGAAAGAAGCTGAGGTAGCATTACTAGGCAGATTCAACTGTGAACTTTAGCTGTCATCTGCTAAAAGGTGAGAAATAAAATTAATCAAGTCCCTTAGTAAACCCATAAGAGAATTTGATTAATAGAAACTGAATTCTGGCCACATTTTCAACATAAAGTAAAATTTGGTAACTCAAACTATATAGAAAAGGACCAGACAGGAACTTATTTTACAGAACTCAATTCTTGCCTTGAGAGAGCTTCAATGGTAGCCTTTATTGTAGGATGGCAAAAATGGCAAATACAACTCAGCTAGGAGAACTACAGTGATATTAGATCCCCCAACATCTTAAGTGCCATTTCAGAAGCACCTCTGAAGAAAAAATGCATTTGAAAAGAGAACCAAAAAAACAGCATACAGAATGCTAAAGTGCTAAAATAAGGCATAACCAATAATCTCTTAATGAACAGAAGAGTGTATGTCTTGGGCAAGTCAGTTCACCTCAACTTCCCTCTCAATGAAACAGGGATCGTGAAACTTGCCTGTCTTTGTCAAATGCTTTGTGATCTATGCATTAAAAGCATTATGTAAGTGCTATATATTACATACCTTTTCCTGAGAGATTGGGAAGTGTAAATAACATGTCATTGTCCCTGGGGATGGAATACAGCATGCTTTCCTTCAGAGGAACAGTATGGTTTGAATGTCTAAGTACTCTCAGGCCCTTAATTAATATGTTTATTTCAGTAACCTCCTCTTGCTGAACCTGCAAAGGAGAAAAATATTGGAATTCTATATCTGTTTTAAAGTAAGGGTGAGGCAGGCCACTGGCTAAAAACAAGCTCAATTAAAATACTCTAGCATGAAGATTTTTGTGGATGCACAAATATTACTAACATAATGAATAGTATTTCTTTTTATTTACTAATACATTAGCATAAGTGCATTAAAGGTTGGGAAGGTGCCTGTTCCTGCAAGAAGGTGTGTTAATATGATCGGCTTGATTTTCAAGAGTTGTACCTAACTCATTATGGCTATGATTCAGAAAGGTATTTAAGCACCTGCCTCACTTCAAGCATGTGAGCAGTCCCAGTGAAGTAAATAGGATTTTGCACGTGCTTTAGTACACTGCTGAACTGAGGCCTATGCTACTGGCCATTCAGTAGGCACTACTGCTACCATTTCCTACTTTACCAAGTCTGACATCAAGGGATAATGCATTTTTACACAGGTGTATTTATCTGCATAGTCAGTGAGGTGATTTCTGATGTGACCTGCAGCAGTTCAGCTTGTCAACAAAACAAGTTCTGCCAACATGATTAATATCTCCATTTGTCCTTCCAGCAGCTTACGCTTACCTACTCTTTCTTTAATGTAAAGCTACAATATTCAGAGTAGGGAGTGGCACAACACTGATGTACCAAAGTTATTAAAAAGTACAAAGGGAATATGCATATTTTGTAACCATATTTATACTAGATTGACCTAAAACATAACAAAACAATCTCATATTTTTCCTCCACACAAATATTAGGTGATGTATTATTTTGACTTATTCTTTATTTCTAAAAAATGCTCATTAGAAGTACTGACTTAAGAGGAAAAAATTTCAGTGTGAAGAGTAATAGAACAGCTGTTCAAAATACAAGACCAGGAACTGACAGAAATCCGGCGTGTGCATTGGGTCCAGGACGAAGACTGCAACATGGAAGTTTGTAAACAAAAAAGAATGCAGTAGGATGTAAGCTATTAGCTGGATCCTGCCCTTAGGCGATGCACAGTATTGCGTAGCTCAGAATTAAAACTACTGCATAATATGAATCATCTGTTCACGGTCAGCTGATAATCAAGATTGCATGCAGTGTTGGTATCAGGATATTAAGGAGACAAGGTGGGTGACCAACTTCTGTTGGTAAGAGACAAGCTTTTGCGCTATACAGAGCTCTTCTTCAGGTTGAAAAGGGTGAAAGCCCCAGACAGAAATAAAGCAGTTTAATATGCTAGTACTAATACCCTATCAAGATTTGAAGTATATTGTATAGAATAGTAAAAGATCTGAGACAAAGCATTACTACTATATGGTAGTCACAGTAGGAACCAGTGCAACACACGCTTAGGCTACATTTTTTCATAATAAAAGGTGTAATACACACTTACATTCTAAAACACTTGAAACAATGAATTACCAGATCATTTTAATAAGCTATAGTCACAATTATTTTGACAAATGTACTACCTGTTAAATGTCTGTGCATGCACAGTGAAAGGAGAATAAGACATTTTGATCATTCCTTATTAACAAAATCACTGCTCTACTGCTGTGGTAAATTTCATAGTGAAATCTCAACAAAAACTAGAGCCTGTATAAAGCAGAAATGTATACTAAACCATAACCTGGAAATTTCTACTTGCCGCAACAACTTGTATCATTAGGTATGCTCAGTGCAGAACTTCTCTGGTTTGAAGAGTGAGTGGCTAACAATTTATGCAAAATTTTGAAAAATAAAGTGCTGCATACTTTCAATTTTTTTGTTGACAGATATTTCCTGAATTCTCATCTCAACTATAATTGAGAAACATCTTTCCATTGCAAATTAGATTATTTTTTCTTAAGAGCTCATTTGCCCTCGGTGTGTCTCTCCTAAAGCCTGTCTGTGATTATTATTTTCATGGCAACTACCAACTTTTTGGGGATAGGGGATTGCTTAAAATTCACACATAATATTCTATAAGGAGACAAAATAGTCTAGGCCTTGATCCTGCAAGGTGCTAAGCACTTTATCCCCAATCCAGCAAAGCACTTAAGCATATGAGAGTTAAAACGTGTAAATTACTATTCTGATTTAGAATGGGCAAATAAGCATGATTAGTGTTACCTCTCTCCCATCGATTTCGGTCACCTCTTCCTGAATGACAATCAACTGCAAATTTGATCTGGATGCCAAGGGCCACTCACGAAACATGATGCGAACACTGACAATTCCCCAATGCCTTTGATCCAATAGGTTATCAGAGTTTCCAGTTTCCACTGTCAACAGATAATTATGCAGTGCACAAAGTCACAAAAAGAAACAGAAGTCCCACTCACCCTCATGACCTTACTACTCACAACCGCCTCATACCCGCCACCGCAAAGTCCACCACGATCACACACTCAACAGCCCTCCACCTCTCTCTCAATGTTTCCTGGACACATCTACTGTCCTACTCCCCAAACACCATGCTCCCACCACTAATGATTGTGTGTTAGATGTGAAAGAGAGTTTGTTGTGGAAATGAAGAGTCCAAATTTACATTGATATTTTGATGTGCAGGTGGTCAGGCATATGAATTGAGGCTGGTCTGGATGTCACATCCAGGCCATTGATGCACTGCACAGCTTGTCAGTGTTGGGAGGCACAAGGTGCTTGGCCTTGTTTCTTCAGTCACCCAATAAGACTCTAAAATGTTCGTTGCTTTTACAGTAAATCCCCTTAATATCAAATTTTTTTAATTAAAAAAAGCTTTTTTTATTTATGCAGCAATGCCTTGCATTATGAAAAAAATATGGCCAGATAAGAGAAAAATATTAAGATAAATTTATATAGGTATCTCCCAGTGGACCCACAAGCTTGTTGAACGTTTCCTGAATTACGATATTGAATATACAGTTAAAGGGCCAAATCCTAAGAGATGCAAAAGCACCTGCAGCTCCCAATCCTCCCAACCTTTAAATGCCAAGTCCCCTGAATTCTGATTAAGTTTAATGGGAACTGAAGACATTCAACGCTTAGCAAAATTGAACCCATTGATCTCAATAGGAGTTACAAGTGCTTAAGAGGTGCTGAGCAGGATTTAGCGAAGTTCTTAACACAGAACTACTCAGTCAGAACGCTAAGACTTCTGTCCAGGGCAAGAACTTGGATACTTAGGGCCTGATTCAGACCTCAGATAAAGTCAGTGTAGTTAACTTGCTTTTACGATAACATAAAAGACATCAGAATGAGGACCTTAGTAATCCTATAGCACTTTGAACTTTACCAATGTTATCTAATTAAACCTCACAACAACCCTGCAGAGAAGTTAAAAGTCTTGTGCCAAGGTCACAAAGCTGAGAACAGAACTCTAGAGTTCCTGGTTTCCTAGGCCTTGGGTCAAATCACTGGTTTTTGCCTACTTTCTGATTTACATAGCACATTTGTAAAATTTCAAAAGCACTGTAGATTAGTGGGTTGGACAATTAGAAAGAAAATGGAATTTGAGAATGCTCAGCATCTCACAGGATTAGGCCTTACATTCGTGAATAAAATGTTGTCTTGCATTCTTCTTGAGTCAATTACCTCTGAAGTAAGTTACACTTTGAAATGTTTTATAATCTATACTAGAGATGAAAAAGATAGGAACATACTTTTACTACATGTGACAAATAGTAATGAGTTACCGCCTACCCCAAAAAGAGAGTATTTAATTATTCATTTGTCATCCTTTGGGTTTTCAAAAGACAAGGTCACAGCTTAGAGAAGCAATTTAAAAGACCATTAGTAAAGGTCTGATCATAAAGGGCAGATGATCTCAGAAGCCAACCTTGAGACTGACCATAACTAGTGAATCTGCATGTAAAAGGATCTTCAGTCAAATGAACATCATTGTCTCAGCTTCATTAATTATGCAATCCACTGTGCAAATCCAAGTATCAAAAAATACTTTTGATTGGCAGTCCTTGCACAAGACAACAACACTGAACTAGGGGAAGTAGAACAGACATGTCCGCTGGGTCGTGGAACAGACATGTTCTTCGAGATTCGCAGCACAACATTTACAGAATAGATTAGTAACCGTTCCTTCTTTGAATGATTGCATGTGTCCATTCCACTTCTGGCTTGAATTGGAAATGGGCGACAGGAAATGGATCACTTGGTGATTACCTATTCTGTTCATTCCCTCTGGGGCACCTGGCATTGGCCACGACAGGATACTGGGCTAGATAGACCTGTGGTCTGACCCAGTATGGCCATTCTTATGAACTGCTTGTGAGTCACTTGAGGTGGGTTTCCGAGTCCACCTGAACAATGACCGAAGGACTGCTCATCAGAACTTGGCATCATCTCTGGAATGCTGAGATATGGAATAATAAGTAGTAAAGGTGTGTACTGAGGGCCAAGTTGCAGCCCTACAAATGTCTGATATAGGCACATGCGCTAAAAGCACTGCAGAAGTTGCTTGAGATCTTGTCGAGTGTGCTATCACCTTGCTTGGCAGCACTACGTTGGCAATGTCATAGCACAGGTGTACACAGGAGGAAATCTGGGACAAGATCCTCTGCAGCAAGACTCAGGGGGTAGGGCCTTTATCCTGTCTGCGAGTGCTACAAACAGTTGAGAAGATGATCTCAACAATCTAGTTCTAGCGAAGTAAAAAGCCAACATCCATGGTATGGAATCTAAACACTTCTGAATACCAGCCCTCGCACAGGAGGTACAACATTGAACTAGTGGGGGAAACAACAGCTTCCCCCATTACAGACAGTATAAAATATCAGGATTGCAACACCTACACAACAGCATCTTATATGTGAGAAACCTGCAGTCCCAATGTAGGTGGAATAATGACAATGGCAAAATATACTTAAAGATCAACATAATCCTAATTCCTATTTATCCTATTCAAACTCTCTTTGGATGTGTGCCACCCAACATAGAGAGACAGCCATTAGCAGTGGGGAGTTGCATTATTATATTCACATTACCCAGTCTAGTGCAAAACCGTCCCCTTTCAAAAATATACACAAGGTCTGTATTTCAGGTGAAACCGTGTAAATACAAGGACATGACTGGGACATGGAAACATATGCGGATGTCAGATTTTGTTTCATGTTGATTCTAAACACATCCTAACTCTGTAAACGTGTTGTTTCCAAATATTGCTGACCTTCAGAGAGCACCATAGCAATGAATTATTTGTTATGTCCTTCTCTAGGTGACATGGAAGCAGATATCCCAGATAAAGAATTGAGCAGTACTCACATATTAAAGTTTGACACTTAATACGGGTAACACCTCTCTTCATAGGAAAGTCATTTACATATATCTGTCCACTATTGTAGGTGATATTAAAGATAACCTTAAAAAAATAAAAGATAGTTGGCAAAATATTAATATATACAGTCAGATTTTCAGTTTCATAAATAATGTAAAGAACAGATTAGAGAGTCACTATTGTATAAAATACTGAAATGAATAAGTCATCAGAAAAATCTGCGAAAGCACACATTCACAGGTAGAGTTTGGTTCATAACTTACTAATATGTTGAGTAAACAAAAACAACAAACCTGTGCTTCTTGAGATTCTTCACTGGTTTTCAACACAGTAACATTAACTCTGATGTTCTCCTGAAAAAAATAGTAATGAGAAAATAAATGTTGAGTCCCGTAAAATGAGTCCCACTTTACTGAAGAATAAATGACGTGTAGGACAAGTGAGCACATTCCCTATGCTCACTGTCTGGCAAAGTGCAGCTAGTGGAATATGCTTATTTGTCCCACACATCAGTTTTTAAAGAGGACTAATTACAAAAGAATGATTATCACTCCCTGTTAAGTGAAAAAGAGTGATTTTTTTTTTAAATGAAGATCAAGAAAACGTGCCATGTTTCCACATACCAATATGCTTGAGATGGAGTCAATTATAGCAAGAGCCCTACCAAATTCAGGGCCATGAAAAATGCATCACGGACCATGAAATCTGGTCTCCCCCCATGAAATCTGGTCTTTTGCATGCTTTTACCTAGTACTATACAGATTTCACAGGGGAGACCAGAGTTTCTCAAATTGGCGATCCTGACCCAAAAGGGAGTTGGGGGGGGGGGGGTCACAAGGTTATTTTAGGGAGGTCGGAGTATTGCCACTCTTACTTCTGTGCTGCTTTCAGAGCTGGGCAGCTGGAGAGCAGCAGCTGTTAACCGGGCACCCAGCTCTGAAGACAGTGCCCTGCCAGCAGCAGCACAGCCGGAGAGTGGCGGCTGCTGACTGAGGGCCCAGCTCTGCCGGCAGCAGCACAGAAGTAAGGGTGGCAATACCATACCATGCCATCCTTCCTTCTGCGCTGCTGCTGGCTCTGCCTTCAGAGCTGGGCTCCCGGCCAGCAGCTACCACTCTCTAGCTGCCCAGCTCGAAAGGCAGAGCCGCCACCAATAGCTGCGCAGTGCCGCAGCCCCCCCCTACAATAACCTTACAACTTCCCCCCCCCCCCCCCCCCCCCCCCCCCACACACACACACACAACTCCTTTTTGGATAAGGATCCCTACAGTTACAACACCATGAAATTTCAGATTTAAATAGCTGAAATTATTAAATTTATTATTTTTAAAATCCTATAACCATGAAAATTGACCAAAATGGACTGTGAATTTGGTAGGGCCCTAAATTATAGCAAATGAAGACAGAAGAAACCGAATATGGCAGAATTTCTCAATCTGTGGGTCATGACCAAAACTTGGGTCATCAAAATGTGTCAAAAAGGGTCAGGTGGCCTGGCCAACCCTTCACCATAAGGGCTGAGCCAAACCTGAGTGGTGCTGCGACCCTGGAGGTTGCAATGCCTGGAGCAGGGAGCCAACCCCAGGCAGCCCCGCAGGACAGGCGCCACCACTGTGATACGTATAATGTACTTATTTAGTACGTATTACAGTAATATGTATATTACATATTGCAAATAAGAAATACTTAGTAGGCAGATGTTTTTTGTGCTAGAGCTATTTACTGGTTTGTGACAGTCCATCACGTTTTAGAAATGGGTAATACAGTATGACACTTAGTCCATTCCCACTCCACATCAGTGCAAAGTCATCTACATGATTTTTAGTGCTTGATCCAGTTTAGTTTTCAATAAGCATAATGCTGCCATAAATGGGACAAAATTTTAGTTGTCTGAGTTGCTAGTAATCCTCACTCCTTCCATCCCATGACACCCGTAACCCCATCCACACATCCTTTCCCTGCCAAGATGCATGGGATTTGTTTCCTTCTTTCAATCTCAAATTGTTTTAATCTATGCCATTATTGCCCCTACCATCGTCCAGTCCCTAAGAAAACTACATTTGCTCCCTCCCGTCTCATCATTCAGTCCTGTCACTTTGTCCTGACGCCTACTTTACTAACTCTGTCAACCTCTCATTTGTCTCTCGTACCTTCCTTATAGCTCCAAAACCTGCCACTGTCCATTCCGGTCTTCAAAGAACACCTCCCTTGAACCTGACACACACTAACTACTGTCCCATTGTCACCCTGCCCTTTCTCAGCAAACTGCTTGACAACGTAGTTTTTAATTTCCCCACTCGCTTTTCATACAACCTTAACTGATTTCAACCTGCTTTTTTTGCTCTGGCCATAATCTGGAAAAGTTTCTTCTCCTTGGAGACAAATCATCTTTTTCTGCTGTTGATACCTTCTTCCCTGTACTCATTTTCCTCAACTCAGTGCAGCCTTTTTGACTGCATTTTCTTGTACAAACTTCATAACTAAAGAAGCATCTCAGAGTCCCTCAAATCACTTTTACACTTCTGCTCTCTTTGACTCTCTCTACATTGGGATTTGAACCATGTTTTAAAAGAGAGAGTTTGGGGTCACATAGACTTAAGTCAGGGGTTCTCAAACTGGGGGTTGGGACCCCGAGGGGGTTGTGAGGTTATTACATGGGGGGTTGTGAGCTGTCAGCCTCCACCCCAAACCCCACTTCACCTCCAACATTTATAATAGTGTCAAATACATAAAAAAGCGTTTTTAATGTATAAGGGGGGGGTCACACTCAGTGGCTTGCTATGTGAAAGGGGTCATGAGTACAAAAGTTTGAGAACCACTGACTTAAGTGGGTTTTGGAAATGGCTTTATACAATTTAGACTGTAAGCTCTATGGGACAGGGAATGTCTTACCATGCATGTGCACTGCACAACAGGGCCCCAATTACTCAATGGGTCTTTATTATAATAATTTAGTCTCATCTACGCTGGTCAGTCCAAACCGCATTTAAAAATGATTTAGATGGAACAAAGTTTAAATTGAGTATAAACA